GCCAACATCCAACAGTGGTCATTTAGCCTGGAAGCTTCTCTGGGATTCACTTCTTTGTTCATCTTTCCCCCATGACTTTATTCAGGGCCATGCTGTTCCCGATTATGTTGCCCCATGTTTTCCTGACCAACCCACAGACTTCTGTCCCACTCACTCCAGGGCCTGTGTGAGCCTCCTGGGTGGGGCCACTTGGTCCTTATTGGGATGGACAGGGGAGGGGACTTCCTGCCTGGGCTGCTGGGACCAGAGCTCTGGGGGTGAAAGTGGGAATGGGTCTACCTGGGCTCCACCGCTGCAGAGAGAGGGTAGTAACAGAGTTGAGGGGAGATGATGGGAAACCAGGGGAATCACTGTGCTCTGTGTACTGTTCCCAAGTTCAGCCTGGAAACTTCTATCTCCAGCCCCACCTCAGCCTTGATTTCCAGACTCACACGTCCAACTGCTACTCAACAGCTCTACCTAGATGTCTAACTGGTCACCTCAACACCCCACCTGAGCATCAAATCCTTAATTTCCTTCCCTAACCTCCCCCGCCCCTCATCTCTTCCATCCAGGCTGCCCATCACCCAATCACAGGGGCTGTGAGCCCTGGAGGTGCTGTGGTTCAGCAGAAAGAGCAGGGAGCACTGGGCATTGAATCCTGCTCCTGCCTCTTACTAGCTGTGCTTTGGTAAGAGGGAAAGAGGAGAGCGGTAAGAGTATGCCAGATCTTACATAACATGTTCTTGAGCTCTTACATGGGCCACAGACCTTGAGCATTTCATGCCTGAGGGCTCTCTGGGGCCTTAGGAGACCTCTCTTGGTTCAATGTTGGCCCACCCTTTCCCTGACAGCACACAGGGCATCAGGAGCTGCCTTTAGGGTCTCAGATACAAAGGATCCTAAAGGCATAGAGGTGGCCAGAGTCTCAGAGGTCCTCCAAACATCCCCCCTTTCTGCACATGGGGAAACTGAGGGCAGAGAGGAAATGACCTGTTCGAAGACCCTGAGTGGATGAGGAACAGACCTGAGATTTGTTCTTTGATATCCTAACTCCCAGCCAGCAGGAAGCAGAAAGCATACTATTGCATCATTCAGGGTAATTTTTTCTTCCGGGTAGTCAGCTCTGTGGCATGATTGCAAGTAAACCCACAGAAGGTAGAGGGAGCCCCCCACAGAGGGCCTTACCTGTCGGCTGTGAGCTTTGCCGTATCTCAGATCGGTGACAAAGTGCTCACAGTTCCTGCTCAGATCACTGTACTCCATCTCCATACCAACCATCTCCTTCCCAGAACTGAGCATCTCCTTTATGGGCCGTGGTCTGTACAGGTGGTCCAAGTGGTTGTTGACCTTATAGAAGCAGTGTCCAACCACTTCCACGAGGAGCTGCCTTTTCACCTCCCCTAAGCCGGTGGGGGCGCCAGCCCCAGAGTTCTCCCCTGGAATCAGACACACGAGTATCAGGAACTGCAGGGGGAGGCCAGGGAGGGAGAGAGAAAACACAAGACAGGGAAGAAGGGCCAAGCGATTACACTATTGAGCCTTGGTGTCTGTCCCTTCACCAATCTGATTTATTTAATGATTTTTCAAGCTATGAATAATTTTTCAAGCTAATGAATATTTTGAAGGCCAGAAGCTGCTATTATGCTCCATTGTATGAATGGACATTACCTGGTTGACCAAGCCACCATTATTGATCATTCTCCTTTATGAGACTTGGACACCAAGATACGTTGCTGGATTAATCTCTATGTGCGCCCAGCTGAAGGGCATGGAGCTAGGGAGCTCCAAATGCTGATGAAGCCCATGTTTCCGGGGCCCACGGCCCTCTTTCCCTGCTGTGCCCAGACCTGAGGGACCACTCAGATGCCCCCAAGGGATACGGATGTAGGTTGAGCTCAAGCACTGCTCAGGGAAAAACCAACATGGGTTACCAGGGTGGCATTCGGCTTTGAATTATTCTTATCATGTTAACAAATCTCTGGAAGTTATACTTTCACCCCCCCTTACCTGGGGGATCCAGGTGGATCACATAACCATCGCCCACATAGAGCGCCCAGTGTGAGGTGAAAAATCGAAAAATCTGAATCAGGTCTCCAGGCATGGGCTCTTCACGAAACTGCAATAAAACAGCCAGGAATGTGAGACAGATTTCAGGGAGCTACAGAGGCCCTGGCTGGGAGCTGCAGCTTTGCCTAGGGATTTGCTTACTGATGCTCACCCCATGGGAAGATTGTGTGTGTGTGGAGGAATCTATTCCCCTGTGAAGTCTTGAGCCTGCTGTAGCTTCTACAGGTTTCCCTGTAAGTAACTAGAAGCCTGGAAAAATGACCTTGTGAATTGGGAGAGAGAAGATTTGTTTAGAATCTGTGTGGGTTCAGTGCCTGGTACGTTGTGCCTTGTTGTGTTGTATTATGTGCCCTTAAATCAACGCAGCAGATCCAACCAACAGCAGCCTCCTGATCACCACACCCTCTGAGGATCAGCAGCTGTACGTGAAGCCTCCCCCCACCAGCCAGAAGAGCCACCAAAGCTGTGAACAGCACCCACCAGAGGAGCTGCTGCCAACTGAGGAGCAGCTGCTAC